TGAGCGTGTTATTGGAGAAAAAGATCAATATATTGCTTATGTAGCTTACCCTTTAGACCTTTTTGAAGAAGGTTCTGTTACGAACATGTTTACTTCGATTGTAGGTAATGTATTTGGTTTTAAAGCACTCCGCGCTTTACGTCTCGAAGATCTTCGAATACCTCCAGCTTATACTAAAACTTTTCAAGGTCCGCCTCACGGCATCCAAGTTGAGAGAGATAAATTGAACAAGTATGGGCGTCCTCTCCTGGGATGTACTATTAAACCCAAATTGGGGTTATCCGCTAAAAACTACGGTCGAGCGGTTTATGAATGTCTTCGTGGTGGACTTGATTTTACCAAAGATGATGAGAATGTAAACTCACAACCCTTTATGCGTTGGAGAGACCGTTTCTTATTTTGTGCCGAAGCAATTTATAAATCCCAGGCTGAGACAGGTGAAATAAAAGGACATTACTTGAATGCTACTGCAGGGTACATGCGAAGAAATGCTAAAAAGAGCTTTCTTTGCTAAAGAATTGGGAGTTCCTATTATAATGCATGACTACTTAACAGGGGGATTCACTGCAAATACTTCTTTGGCTCATTATTGCCGTGATAATGGTCTCCTTCTTCACATCCACCGTGCAATGCATGCAGTTATTGATAGACAAAAAACTCATGGTATACACTTCCGCGTACTAGCGAAAGCGTTACGGCTATCCGGTGGAGATCATATTCACGCGGGTACTGTAGTAGGTAAACTAGAAGGGGAAAGAGAGATGACTTTGGGCTTTGTTGACTTATTACGCGATGATTTTGTTGAACAAGACCGAAGTCGTGGTATTTATTTCACTCAAGATTGGGTTTCTTTACCCGGTGTTATGCCTGTGGTTCTGGGGGTATTCACGTTTGGCATATGCCTGCTCTAACCGAGATATTTGGGGATGATTCCGTACTACAGTTTGGGGGAGGAACTTTAGGTCACCCTTGGGGTAATGCGCCTGGTGCCGTAGCGAATCGAGTCGCTCTCGAAGCATGTGTACAAGCTCGTAACGAAGGACATGATCTTGCTCAGGAAGGCAATGAAATTCTTCGACAGGCTAGTAAATGGAGCCCTGAACTAGCTGCTGCTTGTGAGGTATGGAAGGAGATTCAATTTGACTTTAAACCAGTGGATACCTTAGATCCAAATGAGAAGAAAGAAAGATATACTAAGGAGGCTCCTGCAGGAGATAAATACAGATAACTTATTCGGGAATGGGTAGAGGGAATTCAAGCAATTACTAACCCCCTTCTCTTCTGAATTGCAATTAAATTCGGCCCAATCTTTTACTAAAATCACTCAAATACTAAAAAAAGTAAACAGATTGAGCCGGATATCTATACATATTAATGAACTTCTTATTTATATTTGGGTATAGGTAGGCAAGAACAAATAGTTAAATTTGGTAATTGGGGTAGAGTTATATAAAAGGCAATTCCATTTTTGGATACTCATACCCATTATTTTAGGCAATAGCCTTAATGCTTGGGTTTCTCTTTTTATTCTGATAGTTGTTCAAAAAGAACTTGTGTTTTTTTATTTTGAGTTTAGGAATATTTTATATCAAACGACTATTCCATGTATTGCTATTTTATTTTCTATTGTATTTTCATGCATTGTATTTTCATGCAAAAAACAAGGGGCAAAAATTATGGAAATGTGGGGGGATAATTCATTGGATAAGAAATTTGAACGTGGATGGGGGCTAACTCAATCAATGGATGGTGTTAGCCGTCCTATTGAAGAAAATAGCAGGCAAAATGAAGATACGAAGAAGCAAGATATGTTTGAAAACATTCAGACTTGGGAGGATCGTGACAATTACGGTTGCAGTAATGTTGATTCTGTCTTCGAGTTAAACTATAGTGAAAGTGTCATCAAAGATGACACTTTTCTAGTTAGCGATAGTACTGGAAATAATTATTGCATCTATTTTAATATTGAAAATTATATTTTTGAAACAAAAAATCCTCACTCTTTCTTTAGTGAACCTTTTTATCTTTCTTCGAATTCAAGCAATCTCACTCAAATGAATGAAGTGAGTAACGAATCTAACTCTCAGATTGAGATTGCTCAGTCCGTTGAAAATTCTATTAAGTTGCAAATAGAGCGAACTACTATCACTACTAATGAAAATGATAGTACTGACAGTTTCAGTAATGAGTCCGTTGTTGATGGTGAAAGCTGCAATAGGAGCGAAGTCGAGAGTTCAAGTAGACAAACTCACATTGGGAGAGAATATCCTAAATTTAACCATTTGTGGCTTCTATGCGAAAATTGTGATACATTATATTATAAAAAACTTATTAAATTAAAACAGTATATTTGTGAAGAATGTGGAGATTATTTGCAACTGAGTAGTTCAGATAGAATTGATTTTTTGATCGATGAGAAAACGTGGGCTCCTTTCGATGAAGACATTCTTTCTCGGGACCCCATTCAATTTGATGAAGACTCTTCTGAAGAATCATCGGAATACCCTTATGAAGACTTTTCAGAAGACTCTTCTGAAGAATCGTTGGAATACCCTTATGAAGACTTTTCAGAAGACTCTTCTGAAGAATCGTCGGAATACCCTTATAAAGACCCTTCTAAATACTTTTATCAAGTATTTTCTAATTATGAAAACTCTTATGAAGAGGATCTTGATTTTTATCAAATAGAAACAGGCTTAACCGAAGCTGTTCAAACAGGTCTAGGCCAAGTCAACGGTATTACTGTAGCAATAGGGGTTATGGATTTTAAGTTTATGGGGGGGTAGTATGGGATCCGTAGTCGGAGAGAAAATAACCCGTTTAATTGAGTACGCTACAGAAAATTTTTTGCCTCTGATTATAGTGTCGGCGTCCGGGGGTGCGCGAATGCAAGAAGGAAGTTTAAGTTTGATGCAAATGGCTAAAATATCATCTGCTTTATACAATTATCAATCGAAGAAAAGATTATTTTATATATCAATCCTTACATCTCCTACAGCTGGTGGAGTAACAGCGAGTTTCGGTATGTTAGGGGATATTATCATTGTTGAACCTAATGCTTACATTGCATTTGCAGGCAAAAGAGTAATTGAACAAACATTAAATCAAACCATACCTGACGAGGCACAAGAAGCTGAATTTTTATTTGAGAAGGGTTCATTTGACTTAATTGTACCACGTCATCTTCTAAAAAGCGTTATTAGTGAGTTATTTACGTTTCATGACCGGGGCACTTTCTTTCATTCAAAGTTCAAATTCATTTGAACTTTGAGTGAAAGAAAATAATTATATTGATTTTAGATTGATATAAATAGTTAGATAAAAACTCACAGATACAAATAAATATAGTAAAAAAAATACCTTTTCTATGAGTGACTTTCCGTCTCTTTTTATACCATTAGTAGGCTTAGTATTGCCGGCAATTGCAACGTTTTATTTATTTATTACTGTTCAAGAAAAATAAAAATTTTTAGATATTTTATATATTGAGATCCTCCCTTTTTTGTAAGTTGCTTTTTTTTGTATCATAACAGGAAGATCTGTGGAATCATATTGACTTAAGGCGTTATTTTTTTCTATCTAACCAAGTTTATGAATTACCCCTAAAGGTTTACATCAAACTAGTGCTAGATTCTCATCAAACAAATATTCGTTTGATGAGAATTACTTTTGAAATAGCAAAGTTCCTAATTAATGGTTTTTTTCTTAATTCCAATAAAATAAAATAAAATCGGATGTAATATGAGTTGGCAATCAAAACATATATGGATCGAACTTAGACCTGGGTCTAGAAAAATAAGTAATTTAGGTTGGGCTTTTACTCTTTTTTTAGGTTCATTGGGATTCTTATTAGTAGGAACTTCCAGTTATCTTGGTATAAATTGGATATCCTTTTTTTCAGCCCAGCAAATTCTTTTTTTCCCACAAGGAATAGTCATGTCATTCTACGGAATTGCGGGTCTTTTTATTAGCTCGTATTTGTGGTGTACTATTTTATGGAATGTTGGTAGTGGTTATGATCAATTCGATAGAAAAAGGGGAATTTTTTGTATTTTTCGTTGGGGATTCCCTGGAATAAATCGGCGCATTTTCCTCCGATTCAATATAAAAGATATAAGGTCTATTCGAATAGAAGTGAAAGAAGGTATTTATGCTCGTCGTGTCCTTTATATGGACATCCGAGGCCAGAGGGCTATTCCTTTGACTCGTACTAATGAGAATTTCACCCCGGGAGAAATTGAAAAAAAAGCTTCAGAATTGGCCTATTTTTTGCGTGTACCGATTGAAGTATTTTGAGAAGGGGGCTACACCTCTTTTCAGTTACTTTTTTTCTATTTTTATATATTTTCTATTTATTTTTCCAATTGCATTTTTTACTAAGACTCAGGAATACTAATTAGCCAATTGACCAGGCAGTTTTTTATTAGCACAAGCAAATCCCCTAGGAAGTTTAAGTATTCTATTGCTTACTATTTCATTCTAAATATTTAAATATCTAAACATTCAGTAATTTTTTTCTTTTTATTTTAATTGAAAGATTTGTATCGGATATCTGAATTTCATCTGTATTCTTTCTAGATTCAAAGACTGGCCAAAAAATCACAACAAAAATCAATACATACTTTAATATACCTTATACCTTGTAAAAGTAAAAACTCATATATGGTGGGTTCATGAAAAATAAAAATAAAGTATTCACTCCTCTTTTATATCTTGCATTTGTAGTCTTTTTGCCCTGGTGGATTTATTTCTTATTGAATAAATGTCTGGGATCTTGGATTACTAATTGGTGGACTACTAGGCAATCCGAAAGTTTCTTCAATAATATTAATGAAAAGAGTCTTCTGGAAAAATTTATTGAATTCGAGGAATTTCTATTATTGGACGAAATAGTTAAAAAAGACGTGGAGACACACCCACAAGAATTTATTATAGGAATCCATAAACAAGCAATTCAATTAATAAAGATACAAAAATATAGTGATATCCATCTTATTTTTCGTTTAGCGACAAATCTAATCTGTTTTTTTATTCTAAGTGTTTCTGCTATTTTGCGTAATGAAAACCTAAGTCTTCTGAACTCTTGGGCTCGGGAATTCTTATATAACTTAAGCGACACAATCAAAGTATTTTGCATTCTCTTATTAACTGATTTATGTATCGGATTCCATTCACCCCGCGGTTGGGAATTATAATTACCTTTATTTCTAAAGATTTGGGATTTTGTGATAATGATTTAATTATCTCTGGTCTTGTTTGCACCTTTCAGTCATTCTAGATACAATTTTTAAATATTGGGTTTTCCGTTATTTAAATCGTGTTTCTCCGTCACTTGTAGTTCTTTATCATTCATTGAATGACATGATTGAAGACTCTATGGGATTCATAATTCAATTTGAAGATTAATTTTTTTCTGTTTTTCTATTGTAAATAAGCGAAGCATTAAAATATTAGCTTCATTACTTATTTTATAGAACTATTTTTTTTATATTTTTATTCCATCAAATAGCAGAATCCTGGGTAGCAAACTATACTAGTGACCTACCCCATTTTATTGTATCAATTTTGCAATCAACGATTCGACTATGCAAACTCGAAATCATTTTCTTTGGATAAATAAACAGATTACTCGATTGATTTCCGCATTGATCATGTTATATATCATAACTCTGACATCCATTTCAAATGCATATCCTATTTTTGCACAGCAGAGTTATGAAAATCCACGAGAAGTAACTGGCCGTATTGTATGTGCCAATTGCCATTTAGCTAATAAGCCCGTGGAGGTTGAGGTACCGCAAGCGGTACTTCCAGATACTGTATTTGAAGCAGTAGTGCAAATTCCTTATGATATGCAACTTAAACAAGTTCTTTCCAATGGTAAAAAAGGGGGGTTGAATGTGGGGGGCTGTTCTTATTTTACCGGATGGTTTTGAATTAGCCCCTACAGATCGGCTTTCTCCCGAGATGAAAGAAAAAATAGGCAATTTGTCTTTTCAGAGCTATAGACCCTCGAAAAAAAATATTGTTGTGGTGGGCCCTGTTCCTGGTCAGAAATATAGTAAAATAACCTTTCCCATTCTATCTCCCGATCCTGCTACTAATAAAGATGCTCATTTCTTAAAATATCCTATATATGTGGGTGGAAACAGGGGAAGAGGCCAAATTTATCCCGACGGTAGCAAGAGTAACAATACTGTTTATAATGCTACAGCAACAGGTAGAGTTAGCAAAATAATAAGAAAAGAAAAAGGGGGTTATGAGCTAACCATAACGGATCCATTGGATAGTCGTCAAGTGATCTATATTATCCCTCCTGGACCAAGAACTTCTTGTTTCAGAAGGGGAAGATATCAAATTTGATCAACCATTAACGAATAATCCTAATGTGGGGGGATTCGGTCAGGGAGACGCGGAAATAGTAATTCAAGATCCATTACGTGTCCAAGGACTTTTGTTATTTTGGCGTCTGTTCTTGTGGCACAAATATTTTTGGTTCTGAAAAAAAAACAGTTTGAAAAAGTTCAATTGTCCGAAATGAATTTATAGACTTGTAGCATTAGCAATCTAAAAAGAGACGATTCAGTGTTATCCATAATAGACGATTCAGTGTTATCCATAATATATAATTAAATTAAAGTCAAATTCTCAAAAACCTTTAATATCTTTATACTATTATACTATATTTGCCAAATTTTATACTAACTGCTGGGAATTTCCGGTCATAGATCATAGTATGTCTATTTTTACTTTTATATTTTAAAGAAGATTTTTGGCATAACTCTCTATTTCATAGTTTTCTATTTCAAATTAAAGTAAAAATTAAAGTAAATTAGAATAGATTTTGCGTCTTCCTCTTTTTACTTTATCAATACAGGAAAAAAGAGAAAGTAAGGGGAGGAGGTATATATAATATTGGTTCAAGATTTAGAGTATTGGTTTCTAGTTTTGAGGCGTATTTTTATACCTCATTTTGAAAATGAAGAAAAAAGATTTTATATATTCTATTATTATAATTATATAATATATAATAATAGAATATATAAAATGAAATGATCGAACTTAAGATCTATATTTTTTTATAGCAGCCTAGCACTTTATTCTTTGTACTTAAAGTACTCAAATGAAAATATCAATCTATACGGTAATAGAGACCAGGCCTTCTGAATAAATCACTGAGATTTATAGAAAAAAACTTTTTTTATTTTGTGAATAAAAGAGTCTTCAGAACTCAACGTGATTTAAAAGCAAATCACGTTGAGTTCTGAAGACTCTTTTATACCTCGAACTTAATTGATCCGATTACTACAGGGATGAACCCAATCCAGAATATGAACCATAAAAGAAAATACCTATTAAACCTATTACAACAATACCTGTTAGAGTACCTATTATCCAAAGAGGAATCCTTCCAGTAGTATGGGTCATTGATCCCACTTACCCCTCACACTTCATAACGTGGTCATGCTAGAGACATAAACAGTCATGGATAATTATAATATGAGATCCTTCCGATTGGGCTAAGAGAATGCCTATCGCTTTGAGGTATTCTCTTTTATTAATCCTAATTGAAGAAATAATTTGAAAATAAACAGCAAGTACAAAAATAAGTAATAATCCCCAGTACAGACTGGTACGATTTAATTCAACGTTTTGCTCGTTTGGATTTGATTGTGTCATAGCTCTATAATTCGGAGTAATTTGATCATTCAATTTATCGTTGAATAAACTGCATTGCGGAAATTGAGCCCCAAAAAAAAGACAGTAGGTACAGCGAGGCCATGAACAGCTAACCATCGTACTGTAAAAATTGGATAGGTTCGATCTATAGTCATTGGGACCTCCTACGAAAACGATCTAGGAAATTAATAGAGTTGTTCCAAAGGATCAAAACGGCCAGTTATTAATGGAATTCCTTGCCGGTTCTCTGTAAAGTACTCGTTTGGCCGTGGACTTCCAAACACATCGTAAGCTAAACCGGTGCTGACGAATAACCAGCCCGCAATGAATAGAGAGGGTATAGTAATGCTATGAATGACCCCAATATCGAATACTAGTAATAATATCAGCAAAGGAGCGTTCTCCTGTGTTTCCAGACATATTGAACTCCGCATATTCTTGTACATTTTAAAAGTGCCGATTCCTTAATAGCATCTTTTTTATTTTTTATATTATCAATATTGTACCGAGGGCGTCTTTTCTTGAGAGTATACCCAATCAGTATAGCATCCTGCTTCTGACGCAGCAACGCATTTTAAATTGAAAGTAAGTGCTCAATTTTTTATTTATTTATTGACTCTTTCACTATTAACGTAAAATAAGGTTCTATTCAATTTTATTGAATAGAAATTCAATAGAAAAGAAAAGCCCTTGACTCAATGAAATGAAATAGAGGCGCGATTTATCAAAAAACCTGCCTTTTTTCGTTGGTTGGAGAAGCGGTTGTTTTTATGTAATCTTAATATACCCCTTCCTTCCTATGGATTTTCAAATATTTGAACATGAAATAATTCTTTGGTCCAGTAACCAAAGCTTAAAATTTAGATCCTTTTTTCTCTAAAAAAATAGACTTCGGTAAATGCTTTATAAACATATGTCCCATTTATAAACACAAGATATTAAAAGTAGCCTCTATCATGCTTACTATAACTAGTTATTTTGGTTTTCTCGTGGCAGCTTTCACTCTAACCTCAGCTCTTTTTATTGGTTTGAGCAAGATACGAATTATTTAAAATTGAAATTAAAGAATATCTTCATTAATATAAAATCTGTTAGGGGCTTCTTTTTCTGTTTAGTCTAGAGTTACTTTCAGTTACTTGTTGCACTAATTATAAATTGCTTTTAATAAAATAAAATAATAAAATATTGGTTATTTAGATTCATGTAAATTTCTATGAATATTTTGATATAGATATCACTTTTTTTTTATTTAACACAAATAATGGAATAATGGAAGTTTTTATATTGGGAATCCTATTAGGTATAATTCCTATTACTTTGGCAGGTTTATTAATAACTGCATATTTACAATACAGGCGTGGGGATAAGTTAGAACTTTAATTCATAATTAATGAATAGATCGTTTTTTTATCTCTTCCCTTTCATCCCCAAGGATGAAATTTTGGATTGCTGTTCACATGACGGAATCTAGTGAAGTATTATTTATTAATTAATAATAATTAAGTCGAGAATAAAAAAACACGCTCTGTAGGATTTGAACCTACGACATTGGGTTTTGGAGACCCACATTCTACCAAACTGAACTAAGAGCGCTTTTTTATCAGAATATAGAGTTTTTTCGTAAGTAGAATTCCAAAGATTTTTAGACTTGTATTAGAAACTAGTATTACTAATATTCTAATACTACTCCAACCCTAGAGTATGCCTCCTTTGAAGCGATTTCGCTAGATGATCTCTTACTCTTCAAAGGAGAGCGTTTATTAAGTAGGGATGACAGGATTTGAACCCGTGACATTTTGTACCCAAAACAAACGCGCTACCAAGCTGCGCTACATCCCTTCAAATGTTATCCAATATATGAGAATAGGGCATAATTGATTATAAAATAAGTCGCATAATTTCATTTTTTCATTAGTTGTATAATCTTTATATATCTGTTATCTATTATAGTTTTCGATCTTTCTATATCCTTCTTTATTTATAATTTATACAAAAAAAAATAAAAGGTGGGGCCTTTACCTACATCTAGATCTGATAATATATGTACTATAACTATTGAGTAAAAATCAATTTTAAAAGGAAAGGAGGTTTTTTGATGCGATATTTTAAAACATATCTCTCTGCGGCACCAGTAATAATTACGCTCTCATTAGGAGCTTTAGCAGGTCTATTGATAGAAATAAATCGGTTTTTCCCGGATGTGTTGACATTCCCCTTTTTTTAATTCTAGTTATTTAATTGACTTTATAGAGCAAGGCATGAAGAAGACTAGAAGTACCATCAAACATACTTAAATATAGAAGGACCACTTCAGTATACGTAAAAATTCCCTCCTTCACTTTTCTTTGATTAACGGAGGAAAGATAAACGAAAGGAAAGATAAATAAAAAAGAGGGATTCAAGGTTTGGGCTCAAGGTCAATTACAAGGTCAATTAAATTACTCTTCTATTAATACTTCTAGGGGTGGCATTAGTCAATAACCTAAAAATTTGACTGACCAAAATAAAACAAAATAAAAGGAGATTCATGACCAATAAGAAAGATGTACGAGGACCCGTAATTTTGGAATGTACCAGTTGTTTACAAACGGTGGTATAAAATTAAAATATCAATAGGTATTTCTAGATATATTACTCAAAAGAACCGGCACAATACACCCAATCGATTAGAATTGAAAAAATTCTGTCGCCGTTGTTACAAACATACGATTCATGTAGAAATTAAAAAATAAATAGGTATTTAAAAAGTAGTGGGAAAATAAAACAACATTTTTAGTCTGAATTGACAAGGAAACTTAATTCTAATTCAAAACAAATTCTATTCGTATATTTCAGTAGACGGAATAAACAAATTATGGATA